TTTGTATGTGTGTGCTAGGCATTCCTTTATGCCTTAACAACTGACACACATTTCAGCCAACAACAACAGCAACAACAACAACAAGAACAACTACAACAATAGCTAAAAGTATTCAAAGTTTTTGCTTTGTTGCTGTTCGAACTTTTTGCCAAGCGCAACAACAGCAACAACAACAACAACAAAGACAACAACAACAACTCTTCAAGACAACAATTACAAGTGTGTGTGTGTGTGTGTGTGTGTGTGTGTTGTGCCGCTCACTCTCTTTGCCGCTTACTCTCTTCAAGTGCCGCACTACTCATACACACACACACACACACACACACACACACATACGCTGTGCGTAACTTTCGCACATTTCGTTGGCGGCGTTTTGCTCCCCGCTCCCCCCTCCTACTCACCAAAAAAAAAGCATAAGAAGAAGCAGGCGGCAGGCGAACTCAACTTCATTACACAATACATGAAGTACTAGAGAGAGTGTGCGACAGAGAGGGGAGGCGACACTGGCTGTGTCTCTCCATGTGTGTGTGTGTGTGTGTCTATGTGTGTGTGCGTGTGTGTTAGTTAGCGGCAATGGCTCTTTAGTGATTACCTTTTGTTGCTGTTGCTTTTTTGATTGCTTTTTTGTGGATAATAATAATGTATTCCCTTTTGCTTTGCGCTCTGCTTCGGCCCGCTTCTTGCTTTCTTGTTGTGTTCTCGCTGTGTGTGCTTCTGCTTCTGGTTCTGGTTTTGCTTCTGCTGCTTCTTCTTCTTGTTTGTTGTATTAATTTTGATTACTTTGAACGCGTTTTTCGCCTTTCACTTTTGTTTTGTGTGTTTTTTTTATTTTGCACTGCAGTCGTTGTCGTTGGTAAGAGAGAATAAAGAATGAATATATATACATATATATATGCATATATATATATATATATATATTTAGCTAGATCTATGTGCTTCGGATGTCACCGCAAAAAAAATGCCAAAGAAAATACGCTGAGGCTGTTGAAGGGAAACTTGTAACGGGAATTAGCCAACGGCTCCGTTATATGCAACAATTGCCGCCGACTTGAACGTGGACTCTGACCAGGTTGCAAGCTTGATGTCCTTTTTTTTTTTTTTTTTTTATTTTGATTGGCACGCGGCGCGCTCTGTGCCACACTTTTGGCGTGGCTTGTTACAAAAAAAAAAAAAAAAAAAAAAAAAAAAAAAAAACCAGCGTAAAAAAAACAAAAAAAAAAAAGGCCACCACAGTACAAATGGCACAGCACACCGGAATTTGTTATATTTGTATTTCTGTTGGGCAACGCTTTCAGTGTAAGAGAATTCGTTTGAGAGAATTGGCTCAGATGGCGTATGTTGCGCGCGGCTACGCACCTAAAAGTAGACTACGAACTCGTTACGAACTCAAGCGGGGCCGACAACAGAAACTCGTGCTCAACGCCACCTTCTCTCTCACATTCGCCTTTGCATTCGCATTCACACTCGCTCTCCCTCTCTCTCTCTCTCTCTCGCTCTGTCTGACGCCCGCCCACTCTCTTGCTGTGTAGACTTCGGTTGAACAGCTGTAGCTGTGAAAGCTCCAACTCAAGCTTAAGTTCAAGTCTTGCTTTTGAAAACTTGCGCGCTTTTAACAGCTGCTTGGCGAGGCTTACAACCAGACAAAAAGCTTAGCTTGAGCTTTCAATGGGGTAGCTCCACCTGGCGTCTGTTAGCCGAGGCTTGCGCCTGCGCCACATGGCCGCTTGGCTTGGCTAGGGTGGTTTCTTATTGTATGTGCCCCTGCCACAAATGGCAGCAACTAACCCCAAACCAGGCCAAGTTGTGGGCCCAACAGTTGCAAGACACACGCAGGCCACGACAGGCACGCATCTCGAGACCTTAAACCGATTAAAGATATATCGATTAACGATTAAACGGCAAGTTAACGCATGTGCGTGTGTGTGTTGTGCAAACCTGTGGCAATTATTTACATATAGAGTAAAAGTCAAGTGAAATTTGCTAATTAACAGCGTCTGTTAAAATAGCATTAATTGATCGACAGACAGTTAACAGTAAGATCAAGATCAAAGCAAAAGCAAGAGTAAAAAGTAAATGCGTGAAGCAAAGCCAAAGCCAAAGTAAACAAACTGAGCCACACACAACAAAACGTAACATATGCAATAACAGCAACAACAACAGCAGCAGCAGCAACAACTACAACAACAACAACAACAACAAACGGTAAACTGGTTTGCCTCGCATTACCATCATTTATTTACATATACATTTATTTGTGTGGCGACTGCGACTGCGACTGCGACTGCGACGCAACTGAAAGCGGAGACGCCAACAATTTGGACGTCGTTGACGCTGAGCGCCGTGCGCCGAGTCCAAAGTCCACAACCCACACACAAGCTGAGCGCAACAAGAAAGTAAACAAGTGTCTGGCCAATGCAACAACACGAACACGAACTGCGTGTGCACTTACCACACAGAGTGCGAGTGGAAGTGAGAGCGAGAGAGTGGAAGGGAGAGCGAGCGCGGGTGCAGCGCTTAAGAGAGCGCGCTTAACTGGCACTTAGCGGGATTAGCTGTTATTAGCATTGAGCGCAAATTAATCCTGTTGACTGCTTGAGTGCTTTTATAGCTAGAATAACTGCACATTGCTCACACGCATTCAATGTGATTTATGCTATACCCTACATATATTTGCGCTGCGCTAATCAACAATGTCAACATTTTAACGTATGTATGTATACATTTTAACAAAATGTGCTTGCAATTATTTTATTAGTCACTAGCGCAGCACTTTGCCCTATAAATACGTTTAAAGACACCTTGACTCAGTTGCTGTTTATAGAGCAATACTTTTTTATTTATATACATATAGTTTTTATTTTATTTTTTGTAATCAAGCAGGCTAATCGATCGAGACTGTGACGAACCAAGTTCCAACGAATTGATAATTTTTCACAGACACCTTTCTGATTTGCCACCAAGTCGATAACAAAGTCCTGATACACTTAGCAGCATAGTGCATTCGGAATGTGAAAAAGAAAAGCAAAAGATACAAAATGATACAAATAAAACGAATGCAAATCGAGCCGTTTACTCTGTGTGCACGCGTGTGTGTCTGTGTGTGTGTGTGTGTGTGTGTGTGTGTGTGGGTAAGACTAAACTGGCCTTGAGCTAGAAATACCCCTCCTTCTCTCTCTCTCTCTCTCACCCCTTACCCTGTCTAACGCTTTGTGTTCAGCAACAAGTATTCAAATGATAAAACAACGGATCTAATTCCCATAACATGCTGCAACTCGCCGCCAGGTGTCGCCTTACGCACAGCCCGCGAAAGTTGAATGCCCTCCGGGCGCGGGGACGAGGCGCGGGAACCGTGGCGCAGATCCAGCCGAAACCCAGGTCCGGTTTTCGGTATCGAATTTCGGTGCGTGTCTCTTTTTTTTTTTGTCGGTTTTAATTTGGTTTCTATTTCGTAGGACTTTGCACCGTCCGTAATCCCAGACCAGCGTCTGGTACTATCTAATTTACACTTTCTCGGCTAATCTGAGCTCGACCATAAACGTAATTATTATAATAACAATTGTAGCCGGGTGATAAGAAGCCTGCAAGTCATGCCCACAAGGCCGAAATGCGCCCGAAAGACAATAGATGGCGATAAGGCTTATCAAGGTAGACCTCGCTGTGGGTGGGGGGTTTTCTATGTAATAGATGCTTGTAATTGTCAATAAACTTGTTGATGTGTGTAAAAGGGAGTGGGGGGGGGGGGATAGAGAAATGACTGCAACTTTTGCTGTAGCTTGCGATCCCCCCTCCAAAATGTGTACATATTTATAGATGGATTCCGGGAATTGGGCTTAGAATGCGAGCAATACGAAGCGTGTTTAGAGTCAGGTAACATAATAGATCAAGCATGCCAAACTTCGACTAATGCCACAACCAATAAATGTATATTGAGTTGATTCTTTTCTAATAAGTTACTCGGAAAGATACAAAACCCAAGATCCTAGAAAATTTGTGCGCAAAAGCAGAACCTAAATAGATTCTGTATTCTTTTTCTGTATCTGAAAAGTCAATATATATCTATGCTCGTTATTTATAGGAAATTGTCGCTGTTTCGAACGTATTATATAAATTAATTATAATTAATTTGAAATCTAACGAAGAGATCTATAAGCAAAAAGAAGCAAGCAGATCCGATATATTTAATCTATTCAGTTATACAGAATCTGTTATAATGTTATATGTGTTTACTATATTCAAGTGAAATTATAACAGTTCTGTTATATTTTATCTTTTCTCTTATAACAGATTCTATGTTGTATAACAAATCATAACAGATTCGATATATTTACACACATGCATACACCCATCCTTCCAGTTATAACAGATTCTAGGCATTTACTATGCATGTGATATACGTACATATATCTATGTATAAGAAGTTGTTATACTAATGTGTGTGTATGTATATACTCAAATCCAACCTAGCTACATTTGCAATCAATGTTAAATAGTATATGCACCTCTTGAGTGCATTTTATAGGGTATTAAATTGGGTGTGCTTGTGCATATTTAGTTATACACCCGTGTTACATTTGATAAAACGTGTTAACTAGTGACAATTAACAATTAAAATCCGAAATATGTTTCATGTGTATCAATCGTTAAATTCCAATTGAAGCAGAGCTTAAATTTCACACATGCGTATGCACACATGCGCATACATGCATGCATATCTACATGCCTGTGTACATGTGCATGTAAGCATGTGATGTTACTCTTTCAGGAATTTTAATCAACATATGCACACACATGCATGCCTCTATATACATTTGTATATCGAAAATAGTTGAGTGACAACTCGATTGTGCTTGCAGTAAATGCATAAGAGAGGCATGCACACATGCCAATAAAATAACTAATTTTATACACACGCATACAGACACACGCATTTATATATGCAGAGACAGAGAAATATATGTAAGCATAAAATTGCATCACTGACTTACAATTTACTGTTACAGATATGCAGCCAGGCAAACGGAGAGCGTAAACAGTATGCGCCACTCAAAGAGCGACAGCGCGAGAGAGAGAGAGAGTGAGAGAGTGAGCGAGTGAGCGGGAGCTAGCGGACGAGACTGATCATGCAGCTCCAACACCAGCAACAACAACAAACGCGTAGGCGCAGATGAGCACAGCGTAGAACAAAACCAAAGAGAAAACAACAACACACACGCCCATTTTGAACGCCAACGCCAACGCGATCTGTTTGTGTGCGTGCGTGTGTGTGCACGTTCGCTTGCCAGCGTATTGGTGGGCCCGGCGAGCCGGCAACGTTGCCGCTGCGACGCCAACGGGCAGTCGTGCCTCAGCACTCCAAAGCGACAGACGTGTGTGTAGCAGCCAGCAGTAAGCAGCCAGCAGTGCAGTCAAAACCAAACTCACACCGACAACAAACTACAAGAATTCAAAAGCCCAACTCAAGCCAATTCCAATCAGTCGTTAAGAGAGCCAAAGAGAGACAGAGCTAGCGAGCAATCCAGAGAGTGCGAGAGCGACAGCGAGAGCGAGAGCATTCGATTCCGAGTTAATCAATGAACATGTATCCAGCCCAGATGCTGCGCCTGCGCAGCGCCGCGAATGTCTTTGGCGCCGCAGCTGGACGCAGAATCACAACCAATCGGCGGCAGCGCAACACGGCGAGCGTCGAACGCGCCCAGAGCATCAACGAACGGGACAAGTTTCTGCACTACAATGCCGAGGACGGCTACTACAAGACCTCGCCCTATGACCCCATCAAGGTGCCCAATGTGCCGTTGCACGAGTACGTTTGGCGCGACTTCAAGAAGTGGGAGAACTCCACAGCAGCGGTGAGTGCACCAAATTCCAGTGTTGTAAATGCCCCCCCCAAAAAAAAACAAGTGTTCATAATTGTTCAAAAAGTAGAAAGAAAAAACTATATGTCGCAACTTGAATGAAACGAACGGTTGACAATCCGAAAAACTTCTGTGAGTTACTTAAACCTTTTTTTGCCAGTGTTTGGTAAAGCCAAGAAGTGTTGATTAAGTGAATATTTACATGGTGTACATAAGACTCTTTCCCTCTGAAGTGATGAATGATAAAGATACTTTGTCAGACCAAGTTTTCAATATGCTATGGCAACTATATTATTCCGAACTGAGATCCGATTTTCTTGGTAGCTGCAATTTTACTCCAAACCCTCCGGGAGTAAAAACTTTCTCGTAAATCTACAAAACTTTCTATTTGCTCTCTCAACTTTTTCAAAAATATATACAAAAATCTTAAAGAATACGATTTGTTTTCATCAAGAACTCAAACTTGTTTTTATTATTACGATTTCTCTAGAACTTATATAACTGTTCCTCAAGTTTTGTTACGGCTACCAAGTGCTTCTGTTCAAGCTCTAGGCTTTATATATAGAAATCTGGTTTTAGATAGAACCTATTCAGGAACCATAAAAAGAAATGTATAGCAGCTACTTGAGCTTTGTATGAAATCTCAACTGATTAGATCGTTCTTCAACTGGAAAACCCTTGGAATTTGTTCGTCTAGCAATGATAATGCAGGCCCCAAAACTCCATATAATACCCTTACTTTGGTGTTGCAAGCAGCCTTATCGCGTCTATATATACATATATACATATATATATATTCATATATATAGTCGTATTTTGTTTGTTTATGCCTAGTTTATTGAACCTGAACCTATGCCAATACCTGTGCGTGTGAGTGTACGTCTGATCAACTTGCAGCTCTATATATATATATATATATATATAGATATAGAGAGAGAGAGAGAGAGAGAGAGAGAGAGAGAGAGAGAGAGAGAGAGAGAGAGAGAGAGAGATATGTATATATGCATATGTCGGTGTCAGTGCGTACGTTTGAAATCACGAGTCCAATCACGAGTCGATTCGCAAAAGGAACTTTGGTGTTCAGTTCCACCGATAACTCACGACATCTTGTGTGTTTAACATATGTATGTGGGTCACGTCGCGGGGTGTACATACACATATATATACATATGTAGCTTATCGGCCGACTGATAAGACGACGTGAAATGAATGGGAAAAGGAAAGAGAACTTTGCGCCAAAATTCTAGATAAGTGCGAATGTGAAATATCGCTGAATATGAAATACAACTACTTTGCTGGGAGGATTGCGGGATAATGCCGAGAAATACGGGCACAAGCCTCAACCCCGCGACCAGCTCCACTCGAGTGTGAACTGGCATCAAATTGCTGTACATGCCCGATAAGAATGTGAAGTGGACAGTGGACAGTGGAAAGCGGGAAAGGGTGAAATGGTGAAATGGGTACTCATGACGCTTTCCAGCCTCGCCATAAATAAGCATGCAACTGCGCGACTGTAGTCGACTGTGCAATACCCTGTTCGAAGTGCACGAAACGCATGTAATCAGTCGAGACTCTAAAGCTGCAATACAGTGCCGCTCAAACTGTGACCAGACATTTGCCAAGTATATGTACTTGCATACATATATATAGACTGGCATACATATTTGCACGATTTGTACGCCTAACTTTAGTCGAAGCGAATAAACATTTCTCTTCTGCTGCGAAAAAGCACCAAAAAGTGAACACAATATACTCTATTTACGCTTGCGAACAGAGTATGTGAAATAAATGCAACTATGAATAAACCAAATGCAAGGCGCAAATGGCGACAGCAATAGGCTGTGCATGTGTGCATGTGTGTGGGTGTGTGTGTGTGTGTGTGTGAGAGGAAGAGAGCGAGCGAGAGAGAGAGAGAGAGAGCGGCGCTGCTGATGCTATAAATAGATGCAGCGGACAGCTCTTGGCTTGCATAAGCAACGCCCACGCTCAGCCCAAGCGATCATCTAATCGCCCCCCCACCCCCTATCTGCCCCTGCTCCCCTATTAGCTAACTGCGCTTAACTAGCCCTAGGTAGACACACGCTGGCCAGCCTCCACGTCCCCCTTGCGCCGCAGCAAAGCGCATTTCACTTTTTACTCGGCAAAATCAAAGTGCAAATGTTGTTCATTGAAATTTATTAGCCTACAGTGGGGCGATATCAAGTTTTGTTTACACGAAATCTGTGTAAAGTTCGTAATCAGCGGCTTGTGCATGCACGCACACACGCACACACACACGCACATACATATGTAGATATCTACATATGTGTATGTATGCTATAAATATATTATGATTGGCATGTGCTTGAATTAAATGCAATTAAATGCAAGGCACATAGATATCGCACACATGCACATACACACATGCACACATGCACACATGCGCATGCACACATGCATACACATGCACATGCACATGCACACATGCACATGCACACATGTAGACTGTAAATTGCCTGCACAGTGGGTGCAAAGTGCGATTTGTGCCAATTGAATTTCGATGTGCGCTGGAAAATAGAAAATCATAATAAACGCGGACGCGCAATTGTTGCTCTATAGGATATACCCTATACTATATATCGCACAGAGTATACATACATATATAACTGTGCCATTTTTTTCAAGCGACTCGAAACTTTGGAACTACGACATAGCCATCAATTTGATCACACTTGCTCATGCCACAGATAATTAAATATATTTGTATATACCCTGTAATATATGGTATTTTAGCGGCCCCCCTCCCCTTTAACAACGGGTCGCAAGTTAAGGCAAACTTATCAGCAAACAGTTGGCAATGTGCAAAAGTTTTGAGTAAATTATACGACAAAATTCGTGATAATACAAGCTATTAGCTTGACAATCAACTGGCTTGTGCTTTTCTGTTGGTTACTTTTAATTAGCAGATAGTATTCGAGCATACAAAGTTCATATTCTTGTCTACAACTATTTGGCATAGTCTAATTTTAGACGCTGTTTTTTTTTTTTTTTTATCATTTAAGTAAACCCAATGTGGCAGATTAAATAGACTTGTAGAGATACGGCTTGGGGTCTTCCAGTTATCTGGCTGTATGCTAAAGCTCCTGATTGCCGAGTTTATTTAAGCTATCTCGCAAAACAAAAGATCTAATTATATAGTAATCCGATCTGTAGAAGATGGCGCTCTATATATAGATATAGATATAGAACTTCGATGCGATCGACATGCATGTAAAATACATGCGCATGTATGCAGTGCAGCTGAGCATAGGGTATTTGCCAGTCGACTAATTCGAATGTTTGCTCTCTCTCTCTGCTTCCCTCTCCCTCTCTTTCTCGCTCTCTCTTCTAAAGACAAGCCCTTGAGTTAATTGCCCAGGAGCATCAAACTGTCCAAATTTTAATTTACTTTTAATTGCCAAATTATAAAAACATGCAATCAAAAATCACACACACATGCACATGCACACATGCACACATGTATTTCTAATCATACGCATGCCAATTGGGATTGTTTTGCATTTGCTTTTGCTCATAACGAGTGTCACCGGTAAATCAACTCAACTCATCTCATCTCATCTCGTTTTATTTATTTATTTTTTTGCATTTGCCTTTTCTGCTTTTGTTTTTGGCTTTCGTGGGCCTGGCCGCGGACACGGCCTCCGCTTGAGCATGACAGTGGCAGTGGCGTTGCATGAGTGCAAGCGAGGGGGGTGGTGGATGGGGCGGTGGTGGTTGGTGTAGTGGGTGATCGCTCGCGTCACTCGTCGAGTGCCTTTGAAATTTGCTGCTCTGCGTCGTTGAGTCGTTTGGGCAAACGAAAAAGTCAACAAGCGTCGCGCAAAGCAGCACCAAGAGACAACGCACACACACACACACACGGGCAAAGAGAGCGAGAGAGTGCGAGAGAGCGTGCGGTAGACTGCTCTCTGGCTCTCACAGTTCAGACTTTTGCAGACTTTGTACTTTGCCCCACTGAACTTTGATCAGTGGCCGCGGCGCGGCTCGAGCGGAACACAGAAACGCGTCAAATGCTCGAAATCATTTTTTTGTGCTCTTATTTTTTGAATGTTTTATTTCGTTTTCTTCTTCTTCTCCTTTTTTTTTTGAGGTTTAATTTAGTTGATTTCTTTAAATTCGACATTTTTTATGCGCTTGTTTGTCTCTGTCCCACGTTCTGTTTGTTTGTGTTTATTTATAATTCCCAAAAACCTATATTAATGCCAATTTGTGCTGCGTAAAAATTAACAGCGCAGAATGACGCCCCCCCTCTGCCCTCCTCTCCTCGCCTACCAGCAACACAACCTCGTATCTGCCCAGTCAAGAAAAAGTGGGCTCAACCTTTAGCTTTAACTTGGCCTTGACTAAGGTCGTTGTGGTTGGTGGAAGGGGTGGGGGCAGAGGCGTACGCTGTCAATTTGCTGAAACGTCAACATTGAAGGCCAACGACCTTCGCTCGATCATATTCATAAAGTTCTCGATTTTCCATACTGGAAACGGGAATGGAAATGAAAATGGGCAAGTGTTTGGAAATACGCTGAGAGAAGGAAAACTGGAAAAACTAGAATTACGGCGCATATCCAGACACACAACTAATTTATCTTAATATCATGAGTACTCACTGCATGCATTGACTATTCACTGCATAGCATGAGTATTTACTGCATGCATTGACTATTCACTGCATATCTTGAGTATTCACTGCATATCTATGAGTATTTACTACATATCTAGCGTATTCACTGCATATCTTGAGTATTCACTGCATATCTATGAGTATTTACTGCATATCTTAAGTACTCACCGCATGTCTTGCGTATTCGCTGCATATCTTGAGTACTCACTGCATATATTGAGTATTAACGATATGTTTTACTATTTGATAAACACTTTATATGCCTATATAGCATGTGTTATGTCTTATCTCCATGTCTATGTATGTGTGTTTTGTGCCCTCCATTTAGTTCCAGGCTAGGTCATGGCCTTACCCAAACGCTATTCATTGAATGAAGTGCTTCGGAACCATGACCTGTACCTTGTACTTAGCACTTGAGCTCTGACAAACGATATTGTTTGCCCCTATTTTAATGCTTACATACTTTGAGGAGCCTCACGAAATAGTTGGAACTCAGTGTGAATCTTAAAATCTCATTGCGGAGTTCAATTTAGGAATAAACTATGTTCTAGTATTTTAATACTGCAAGCTTTTGGGCTATTGCTTAGATTTGGAAATTCCATTTGCAATAATATGCAGAATCATATCTGGAGTATTTCCTGAGCATTTCCTATTCTCTAACATTGTGATGGAAATCAAGAAATAAAATAAGTCTCAAAAGCAATTTGTTGTCTTATGATCGTATCGCATATATACGCATATCAATAATATTTGTTTCCCTTTCCCTTTATATAGGTTTGCGTGATTACGGATCGTCAATATACCTATGCGCAGCTGCGCGATGCGAGCGCCGCCTTTGCGGTTCGTCTGCAGACCAAGTTCAAGCTCTTCAAGCCCGACGTTCTGGCCATTTGTCTGCCAAACATGCCAGAGTATCCGATTGCAGCTCTGGGCGCCATCGAGGCTGGACTCGCGGTGACCACCATCAATCCCATTTATACGCCAGGTGAGTGAGCTATTGCGATTTGGACTGTGACGGGGACTGTGACGGGGTCTGGACTGCGAACTCGTGTCGCATCAGCTGAACGTCGCACTTGTGATAAGGTGACACAATTAAACGTTAAATCTCGTATAATTAGCTCTTATCACAGCGAGCATTGTTAACTTTATGGGCGAGCGTAGTCCAAGTCGAAAGATCACCGTCAATGATAGCCGACCGCCCAATTATTTGCGAACTCGAAAGCATTAACGTAGGTTGCTATAACAAGCTAAGTTTAGGCACTAACGTTTACGAATAGAACACAAAGCAACTAGGCAAAATTCGATTAAGAGTTTGGAAGTGCAGAGCGGGGGGGAGGGGGGGGGGAGCGTAGAGTACCTAATGTTAAAATGAAGTCAATGTGCGGAAAGGCTAGTTCTCAAGATGTGCGCTAAAACGTTTACGAATGTGAGGCAAAGCGGAAACGAAAAGAGAAATATTGCTTAATAATAGAAGCATTTCCCTAAATGCGAAGCTGAGATGTTTGCGAATGTCGCACAAAGAAGAATTCCCATAATTGAAAAACGTTTACGAACATAAAACACAAAGAGAAGGCGCTCAACAAAGATTTAGCCAGAAAGAGAATAAAAGGGAAAGGCATAGAAGAAGATGCTTTATAGCTGTTACGTTTACGAATGTCGCACAAAGAAGAATGCTCAATACTAAAAAGAAAAACCTTTCGCGAGACATAACATAAACCTTCTTCTACCCAATCTAATGCCTCGCATCTCTCCAACACGCCACACATTTCAGATGAAATCGCGCGCCAGCTTAAGTTCAGCGATGCCAAGTTCCTGGTGGGCAGTGCCCAGGGCTATGAGACGCTGCGCGAGGCGTGCCAGTTGAGCGGCAAGCAGCTGCCGATTGCGGTGGTGCGCAGCACGGCGGGTGAGGCGCTGCCGGCGGGTGCCATTGATTTCTTCGAGGTGATGAGCACGGAGAATGTGCGCTACGATGAGCTGCGCATTGCAAAGGATGCCAGTCCCGAGGACATGGTCTTTCTGCCCTTCTCCTCGGGCACCACCGGCCTGCCGAAGGGCGTGGTGCTCTCCCACAATAACATCAGCAGCAACTGCGAGCAGGTGCAGGACGCGCTGCCCATTGACTCGCTGCAGTTCCAGGACACGCTGCCCGCCGTGCTGCCATTCTTTCACATTTACGGGCTCACCGTCGTCATGCTCTCCAAGCTGGGCCAGGGCTCCCGACTGGCCACCATGCCCGCCTTCAAGCCCGACGACTTCATCAAGGCCCTGGACACGTACAAGGGCAGCATTCTGAACCTGGTGCCGCCCATTGGTAAGCGGTAAACTGCCCGCTCTTGCGCCCCATTCTGAAACTAACTAAATAATGCCTTCTTACTCTCGCCAGCGTTGTTCATGATAAATCATCCCAAGCTGACGAAGGAAACCGCCGACGCGCTGCGCGTCGTCATGTCCGGCGCTGCGCCTATTGGCCAGCACGATGTCGAGCGGTTCATGCAGAAGTAAGTAAAGTGCATGTTAACTTCTTTTCTTAACTTCCTGGTAACATAAGAAGCTAATGTTAACCCATTAGTTAGCTCCTTCTAACCTCCTAATAAGATGTCAATATCTATCTGACATCTTGTTGACCTCTTAACAAAGTTCTGGCAACCTCCGACTTAATTTATGTTATTAAAAGATGCTTTCGCTTACCTCCTGCTTTGCTCCTTTCAACCTGTTATCCACCGAATAAATTTTTGTAAACCTCCTTACGTATTCCGGGCAAGCTCCTGGCAAGGTTAATTCTAGAATATGCTTCTCGAAATGCTCCTGTTTACCTCCAAATAAAGTTCTGTTAACCTCGTCCTTGATTAGCACTTTGCCAACTTGTCGTTTTGTGTTGCCACTTTGTTATTATAATGTTGCCACCTTATCCAATTCGGGTTTGCCGTATTGCACGTATATTCGGCAGTTGTAGGGCCTCTCAAGACTCGTTCATAGGAATCGTAGCTATTATATGAAAACTAATCTCTTGAACTTTGCTCTCTGTAGATTCCCAAAGACGCGCTTCATGCAAGGCTACGGCATGACGGAGGCCTCGCCCGTTGTCCTGATGACGCCCATGGGCAATACGCGTTATGCCTCGACGGGCGTATTGCCCGGCAGCACGGAGGCGAAGATTGTGCCGCTGGATGGGTCCGACTCGAAGGGCGTGGGAGCGCGCACCACCGGCGAGCTGTGCGTGCGCGGGCCACAGGTGATGTCCGGCTATTTGAACAATCAGGAGGCTAACGACGTGACCTTCTATCCGGGCAAATGGCTGCGCACGGGCGATGTGGCGTTCTACGATGAGGACGGCTACTTTTATATAACCGATCGCATGAAGGAGCTGATCAAGGTGAAGGGCTTCCAGGTGCCGCCCGCCGAGCTGGAGGCGGTGCTGCGCGATCATCCCAAGATCCTGGAGGCAGCTGTCTTTGGCATTCCGCACGAGCTGAACGGCGAGGCGCCGCGCGCCATTGTTGTCCTGCGCGAGAACGAGACGGCGAACGCCGAAGAGATTGCCGCCCATGTGGCGGCCCGTGTGGCCCACTACAAGAAGCTCGAGGGCGGCGTCATCTTTGTCGACGAGGTGCCCAAGAATCCGACGGGCAAAATACTGCGCAAGGATCTCAAAGAAAAGTATTCGGACTGAGCCAGAGACAAAGTTGTTGCAGATTAGTTTTTTTTTCCTTTGTTATAAATGTTTTTTTTTTTTTTTTTTTTAAATTTTGACTAGTGCTTGGGATCTACGTAGATCCGATAATTTGGAACCCGACAATGTTGGCAATTGCCGGCAGTCTAGCGGGCCTTGTGAGCATTGCATTTAGACGAGTGGCCCCCAGGGTGGCTGCGACAATAGCGAGTAGCGAGTAGCGAGTAGCAAGTAGCGAGTAACGAGTAGCGAGTAATAGTCACCGGATTGGTCCATAGCTTGTAAGTGTCATAGGGCTATCAAAAGACCTAACTTAGGTTCTTCTGCACAGCGTCTCAGGTTTGTGTGTGCCTAAATTGCAACAGAATATATTGTTAAACTCGTTCGAAACACTGGACCTGCATAAACTATATATATACATGCAAATTAAATCAGTCCCCATCAGAGCGGACTTAATCGTAAGCTAAAGAAGTATAATAAATATATATATACTATTTTTTTTTTTGTTGTTATCCATATATATATATATATATATATATATATATATATATATATATATCGTAAGCTATAGTTACACGTGTATATTTAGTTTAAAGCAACGATATTAATATATTTTAATCGTAACACTCTATGTATACCATGCACGTCGATATGTATTGTATGTATTTGAGGGTTTTGTAATAAAGATTTTATTGACCAACAACGTAAAGATACGTAAAGGCCAAATATTTTTGAAATGCACTTGATCTTTGCGATACTAACGCATCAAGTCCTTTGATAATTTGCAAGGATATGGCAGAGCTTCAAAGAGGATTTATGTTGTTTTTTTAGCCATATCTCGGTCATATCCCTGCGGATCTCGGCTTGTCATACGTTTGAAAGAAAAGAGGACTATCGACTGGCATTCGAGGAGTTACAGGATTCAAAATAATCAAATTCTACACTTTTTCAATATTTTATGAAAATGCAAGGGTTTACATTACGTATTTTTCTCAAAATCGGGCTCGAAAATCGAAACTTTTTTGATAATTTTTCTTGAATATCTCGTGTAAATATTGTCTGATTTAGTAATGTTATACCTTTTTAAATTGGAACGAATCCATACTATAAATTGGCATTCAAACAAATTAAAAATCGATGGTTTAAAAAAAGTTCAAAATTTTTAAAAGTCAACCTTTTCTCGGCCAAAAAATGTCAGATTTTGAAATTTTATAAAATTTTTTAGTTTTTTGAAAATCGGCAAAGATGTAGCGATTTTTTTGTAAAAACGAAAAAGGATTCGCTTTTTGCCATATAGTTGTTTAATTTCTTTTAATTTATTTATTTACGACAAAATACACAAAATTTAAGATTCGATTTATTTAGTTATTCTCCTGCACTCTGAAACATATATCAATTTAAGTTACTTGCGCTTAATATACAATAGAAAAAAAATATATGTACCATATATACATATATATATATATTCTTTATTGTTCAAATATGTATGTATATATATATATATATATATATATATATATATATATATATATATATATATATATATATGTAAATTTGTAGTTCTGTTTTTTTGAATTGTGTGTAAATGCTTTTACTTTGCTGATTCTTCGGTTCATCTAGAGTTTGTTACCTTTTGTTATTATTGTTATTATTATTATTGTTGCTCCTTATCGACAAATGCACATTTTAACATTTTGTGTATTCGCTTTTCGGCTTTATCATTGTCATAAACAAATCTGTGTGTGAGTGTGTGAGTGTGTGTGTGTGTGTGTGTGAGTGTTCTTTACAGGGCCGCAACAACTGTTTCCGAGCTGTTAGGAAAAAATAAAAAGTATTTCCCGATATATTGTATAACTCGGTCTTAATGAGTCGTAAATGTCTGAGATTTGACATACCAGATTTCTTGGAAGTACGTCATAAATTGATTTGCTTTAAGTTAGAGCTTAAAGCGTGCTTATAATTCCTGCACCTTCAATTTATTATCGTACTCCAACTGAACAGTTTAAGGAGCTAGAATACATACAGATCCGACTTCATTTGACTGAGTTACAATCGTTTTGGGTATCGTAATAATTGTTTCTTGAAGTATTCTCCATTTTCGGAATATTTGGGAATCTTACTTTCTAATTGCCGCGCAGCTCGTTACATATTTGAAAGAATTGCAGCCTTGTCTAATTATACTAGAAAATCAATTTGTGTTAAAGCAAAATCAATCGAACTTAGATTTAGATAACGCACAAATAGCGTATTTTGATAACTTCACAGAGTTATTTTTTACTCGTTACAGGGGACAATATGTGGACTTACAAAATTGCTTTAACTAAATTTAAATTGTTTAAATTGATATTTTGTTTAGCATTTTTCTTGTTTTTTTTTTATATAATTTTTTGTTGTAATTTTTGCTTATTTTGCTTTGTATTTTTTTTTTTTTTTTTTTTTTGCTAAAAACTAAGAAACAATTTGTGAAATGTATTCAAAAATGGTGAGAGAAGTTGTTACAAAACAAAAAAATAATAATAATAATTATAAACAATATTAATGAATGTGCGTAATAAAAAGTAAACATTATCAAAAGAATTTTTAAAAATTCGAACGCATGTTGTGAGAGTGTTTGTGTGTGTGTACGTGTGTGTGTGTTAATAGGTGGAAGAGCGGCGGCGACAGTAGCGTCATAGTAAAAAATAGTGTTGTAAAGTGTGCACTGAACTTAGTGTGCGTAAGTGAAAGGTGTTGCCCGTTGGTCCCGTTTGGCACAGTGGGACGATGTCATTGTGATCGGGCAGTAATTGTAGTTTGACAGTGTTGCAAAGCAACAAATTGTTGCAATTCGCAGCACTGTTTCAGTTGATGCTCATGGTAAAGAAACGTTTTGTTTTTTTTTGATGGTTTTGTGCGATTGTAGTCCAGCTTATGGACTAAATGGACAGCGAAGACGACAAATACAAATACAAATACAAATACAGTTGCGAATGCAAATACAAATACACATGTTTGTGTATGTGTGTGTGTGTGTACGTATGTGTATATAAGTGTATCTATATGTAAGTAACTAGCACACACGCCACAATTAACTTTTGTTTACAAAATTTGTTTGTTGGTATTTTTTGTGTTTTTTTTTTGGATTTTTTTTTTTTTTTTTTTTTTTGGTAATTTCTGCTTATTTATCGAGAAAAGGCCACAAAATGCGTTTGCGAATGCGTGCGAAATGCATTAATTTTAGATATAAGCTTTAGCTTTAGCTGGATATCTGATTCGTTAACTGATTTATCCAACTATGCCCGGGCCAGGCCTTTTGTCGTCGTGTGGCACATACACACACTGACACACACATATATATATATATATAATATCGGAGTACATTTTGCTATATGTAGACATATATATGTATATATATATCTATATATGTAAGATTATCGTTCGATTCCTTTGATTTCTGATGCGCTCGCCAGCTCGCTCTAACAAATGCGTTCTCTCTCTTTCGCTCTCTCTTTCTCTTTCTCTCAGATTCGCTCGTTCGCTCTCTCTTTCGTTCTTATTCTCGCTTTCTGTTAACTCCTCTCTCGTTCTCCCTCAGCTCCCTCTCTCATTTCCAGTTGCAATTCCTTTGGGGGTTACGTCGTCAATGCCATTTGCTGCACATCCCATTCGATTAGGTTTCACGCTTTGGCGCCGGGTATCTTGGCCAGCACCTTGGACAGATCCACCCCGGTCAGTGCATTGATCGAGGGAGGCAGCTGTGCCACGAGGCGTGTCACATCGTTGGTCACATTATCGTTGCCACCAATCAGCACAATCTCATCCGTCTTGGCCAATGGGGCGGCCACCTCGGCGGCAATCTGGAAGCGCACATCAAAGTTGATCAGTCTCCTCCTTTCTCTCTCCTCCTTTCTCTCTCCCTCTCGCTCTCGCTCTTACCTTGGGCAACGATTCCAGCACTATATTCATGATGGCCGCATCGCCGTACTGCTTGTAGACATTCGCCTTCATCCGCATGCGTTCCGCCTCCGCCTTGCCCACCAGCTCAATGGCATGAGCCTCCGCGGAACCGATCTTCCGTATGCGCTCCGCCTCGGCCCGTGCACCCTCAATGGTCTGGCATCTGTGTTGAAGGGAAAGTGGAAATCGGAAGTCGGTTAGCCAAAGGAATCAGACATGCTGTTATTGCACTCTCTAGCAAGGATCTAGAATGTCCAAGCAAGCTTGCGCGTCTCATGAGCCTGGTGATCCACATCTGTGCAGCCAGCTCCTAGTTCTAGCATTGGTTCCTTTCCTTTTCTTTGAATTTTTTATAGAGCTTATCCATGTCTTTACGAAAAGAATAAAAAGTGCTACCAGAAGGCAAGCTCTGAGCTGGACAACTGTATTTGAAAGTCTTGTAGTTGGAATATATCCGGGATTAACTCTCGCTCCTACTCAATTTAAGCTCAAGAACTCCTCCATTTAAATTCTTATAGAAAGGGAAAAAAGTTCCTCCGGAAGAAAACTTCAAGAGTTCTAAGCTGGAAAGCTGCATATTGATGTCTTGAAATTGGAATATATCCGGGTTTAACTCGCGCTCTTACTTGATTCCAGTTCAAAAATTCTTCCATTAAATTGATTACACATAGGGAAAAGAGTTCCTCCGGAAGAAAACTTCAAGAGTTCTGAGCTGGAAAGCTGCATATTGATGTCTTAAAATTGGAATATATCCGGGATTAACTATCGGTCCTACTCGATTTGAGCTCAAGAGCTCCTCCATTCAACTTCTTATACAAAGGGAAAAGAGTTCATCCGGAAGAAAACTTCAAGAGCTCTAAGCTGGGCAAGTGCTTTCGGATGTCTTGTAATTGGCATATATCCGGGATTAACTCTCGTTCTTAGACGATGTCAGCGTATTTTTATCGAGTGTATGTGGAATTTGTATACTTACTGCTTGCCCTGGGCAATGGTCTGGACACGATACGATTCGGCCTCGGCTGGCAGCTTGACGGTGCCGATAAGTTCGCGATCCTTGCGCTGCACTTCCTGCGACTCGATCTCGATCTGTTTGCGCCGCTCGACGACCTCGATTTGGATCTCCTCGTTCCGGATGCGCTGGCGTATCTTGGCCGCCTGTAGTTCGTAGGCCAGCTGGGACTCGGCCTTGGCCGTGTTGATCTCCTGATCGAAGTTGGCCTTCTGCAGCTTGTACATGCGCGTATTGTCCTCGATCTTGGTGTCCGTCGAGTACTTCACATCCATGGCGCTCTTCTCGCACTCGGCCTCCCGAATGCCGGCATCACGATTTGCCTCCGCAACGCCCGCATCGGCATCCCGCTTAACCACAGCGGTCTGGGCCTTGCCCAGCGAGGCCAGATACTGCACATCGTCGTAGACGTCCTTGATGGTAAAGGACAAGATCTCGATGCCCATGCGGCCGACATCAGGTGCGGCCACCTCGCGCACCAGAGCTGCGAACTGGTCGCGATCTTTGTAGACCTCCTCGACTGTAAGCGTTCCTATAAAGCGAGACAGCGATAGATGAAGAGAAGATGAGCGTGAGAGCGACAGGGCGACAGGGCGACACATCAATCAATTGGGTGTGTCAGGTCTCAGCTGCGCAAGCCGCTTACCGTCTAACCACCAGCCAGGTAATCCCCACAATCATGACCACCTTGAAGGTGCCCATCCATACCATAGACATGGCTCTGATCGTTTAGGCCCAGTTAGTCCCCCAGTTGAGTCCCCCAAAGCGGGCAAGTTTGTACTGACGGCGGCGAACACGCCTAATAACTGTTTTAATCTAGCCACACGCTGTTCACTTGAATGTTCTTCGTCTTCTTCTTCTTCTTCTTCTTCTTCTTGCCCTGGACTTTTAATTAAAACATTTCCTATTACTCTTGACGTCATTGGCGCAGTCTTATCGGCCTAGTCTTGGGCTTATCAGCGCACGTCACGTCCAAAGCTTTTCACACACGCACACACTTGACTAGAAAGGTGCTTAAAGCTTACACCCTTGAGCTTTGTTTAGAGCAAGATAAGCACAGCGTTCTCTCTCTCTCTCTCTCTCTCTCTCTCTCTCTCTTGAATTGAATTCTTGCTCTTCAGCATTTGCTAGAGCGAGATGGACACTCTGATAAGCTTTAAGCTTTCGTCAATATGAATTTCTTATAGTGAGCACCATTTCACTTATTTTAAGTTAAGAACTCTTAAACTTCACTTGAGCACAAATACACAAAATAGTTCGCGGATCTGCAATGTTTTCGCTTGAGGCTTTCGAGCTACAACATTTGTTTCTTTAGACATTTTTGTTATGTTTCTACAAAAAGTTTGTTATGATTTGAAATTTTTGTGGTAATGCAATACTAAAATTCTTATTGCTTGAATTTTTTCCCTTAGGTGGCAACTCTGCTTTTTAGATTTGTGTTTTTTTTTGAGATTTTTGTCTCTTTATTACAAGATTATGTTGCCTTTCCGTGTATTCTTCAGTTTAAAGACTAAGTTAATGTCTGAAGCTGAAGGTATTCAGTTTGTTGTATATTGCTAGAGCAGAGTTGCCACCTTGCTTGAGAAGAGCTGCCACCTGTGGCACAGAAAGGTATTGCCACCAGTGAGCTGTGAATAGATTCACAAGCATCTAGAACTTAGGCATATATACGAAGATATACAGAAATATTTTTAAATATTTTTCAGGTCCTGCAAGATATCGTTAAGTTGCCTTTGCCTTAACAAATATGCCAGTATCAAGACTTGAAGCTGAAGTATATTTACTTTAGATAGCAGCTAAACTATTTGAATGGGAGTCCAAGTAATATGCAAGACTTTCATTTGACCTAAGTATATCTATAAATATAGATATTGATCGTTTGTTTCAGTTATCAATTATTTTACTTGACAATCGATTTATATATATATATATATATATACATATATATATATATATAGGAAGGAAACGTTTCCTAGACATTGTATTTTTCTTTTCCATTCAAACCTTTCAACACAAAACCTGATGACATATGTATACTTAGTTAACCTTCTATTTGGCTGACACGGAAATTGGTTTGGTTTCTCAAACTACATATTCCAGCTGAATTAAATATTCAGATATCGAGAGTTCTGCCCCAAACAAGTTCAAGGTCAAGAACTAAACACACACACACACACAAACGCACACACAAACGCACACACATGCACATCGGCTGTGCCGTTCACACGCGATTCCATTGAATGTAAGCTAAACGACCTATTGGGGGCGGGAAGGGGCGTGCCAGGCCGGGTCAGTTGACTGTGCGTCTGGCTATATGGGTATATACTTGAGACCCGCTCGGAGACGTCGCGACCGACGCGTTGCTCGACGCGCTTACAACTGACATAAAAAGTAATACAAAAGAAGAGAAATAAAAAATTTACTTAGGCCGAGAGAGCGGGCCGACTAAACTAATTGAATTTGTGAACGTGTTGTACAAATGGAAATCGCCTTGGGAATGAGATATATACCGAGCTATATAGCTATATGCCGACAATAACGAATAGCAACTATAAAGCGATTATAGCGCCAGGGCTCCAGCGAGTCGAGCCAAGCCACAATTATGCGCATTCATGAGTGCCATTTGGTGTGATTCGAATAACACTCACAGTTCGGTTGAATGCACTCGTAAAAGCATTCAAGTTCAGTTTGATTAGTGTAATCAATTGGCAGCCAAGGCCAGCTCGCGTTATATAACTCGATCAGAAGCTGATGATGAGAGACTTGAGACCCAATGAATCCACTCAGTATTTAATGATTCAATTGTTCTAACCAGCAGCTACACGAAAAGCTCAAGTGGTTTTGAGCTAAATGAATGCCAATGAGCGAGCTCTACATCGATGAATTGTTATCGAGGTGTTGGATCTTAGCTCATCTGTGAACTGACTTGAGTCAAGTATTTTCGGATGAGTCGATAGTAAATACTTGTGTTTCTAGATTCAACATCACCGCCCCGTTTACCCTCTTGTGGATGAAAGGTCCAAAAAGAGTGAAACACGTCTTAAATAAATTCTTACAGAGATGTTTGAGAAATAGTTATAAAAATACACACGAACTTCTTCCGCCAATATTTCACTCTCATGCTCTTATGTTTGTCATCAATCACTTACTCGATCAATCAGCCGGTCATTATTTTATATGTATATATTTTTAGATCTTTCTAGCCTTTACATTGACCATCAATCACCAATCAATCATGAGCAACTGACTACTCCATAAGCCAGTCAGAGCTGTATAATCAATCATTGTATCAATCCGTCAATCACTCAGTCATTTATATATATATACATATATATTTCTTGCTCTCACGTTTGTCATCAATCACTCATATTTCGTTTTTTTTTCAAGCTTTCTAGCTCTCATTTTGATTATCAATCACTAATTCAGTCAATCAATCAGCCAATAAACTATATATTTTGTACGTGCTTTTTAGCTCTTACGTCATCAATCACTGATTCAACCAATCCGTCAATCATATATTATGTTATAAGCTTTTCTTCTTCTGATCATCAATCATTCAGTCAGTCAGAAATAAACACATATATATTCATGTATTTTATCTTACCCAATATGGCACGAAGGTGACCCTCCAGGGTTTGCAAAATGGTTTGCTTAATCTCCTTGACGCTCTTGCCCAGGAATTGCTCGCTGGCTGTGCCCAGCAGCTCGTCGGCCTGATGATGAAAATAATAAACATTCATCATCTGTGCGTGTGTGTGTGTGTGTGTGTATATTTGTGTGCGCACGTGTGTATATGTGTGTGAGTGTATATGGGTGTGGTTTGATGTGTACGTGTGTGTGTTTGGGTAGGCGAATGATGGGTTAGATGGGTTGATGTAAGTGTTATTCATTAATTGGTATTTGTTGATCAACACGGCACACAGACAGAAAGAGATAGGAGTAAGAGACAGAGACAGAGAGAGAGAGAGAGAGAGAGAGAGAGAAAGAGAGAAAGTGACACAGACAGAGCAGCAGAGCAGCCACAGCGGAAGTTGATGATCCAAAGCCACAGCCAAATAAATGAGTAGTTTTGAGTAGTTGTTGAATAGTTATCGGATATTTATCGAGTATTTTTTGATACGTTTGAGTAATTGTGATTAATATGGACCAACACACACACACACACACACACAGAGGCGCACGCACACACGAGCACACATTGAGCGTTGGCAACAGTAACCATAATAGTAACCATAACAGTAACCATAACAGTAACCATAACAGTAACCGTAACATTAACAGTAACATTAGCAGTAACATTAGCAGACGTTTAGCAGTAGGCGCAATTCAATCAGATGTTGTTGGTTAAGAATATTATATATTAGGTTTTTTGTTTTTGTCAAGCGATTTGTTAATTTTGATTTGTTATCATTTACAGTTGAGTTTTTTTTAAGTCGGATTCGTTTGATGAGTTGAGTTGATTCGAGTCGAGTTGAGTTGAGTTGATTGAAGTTTGATTCGAGCGATTCGAGCGCAGGGTAAGTGGTTGGTAAAAGAAAGTAGAGAAAAGGTAAAAAAAAAACACAAATGTCAACAAATTTCGACTGTTATATTTATATATATATAGACTGTAGACTCCATTGATAAAAGCTAGGCACGAGTATACTCTAAATGAATGAATCAATACTGGCTATGTGTTACAAATCATAATTCAATGTTCAAGCGACAAACATGCAGCAAATAATATGTCAGCTAAAAACAGGACTTTCGAGTTCAGATCTCTGAGTTCCGATTCAAATGTGTGCCCATGTATGTGTGTGTGTGTGCGTGAGTGTGTGGATGAGTAAATATGTGAGTGAGTTAATTCTGCATGAATAGATCGAATAAAATTGAGCAAGCAAACCGAATCGAAAGGAAAATATAGCAGAAGTACAAGAAGAAGAAATGATTTAAACGCAATAAACATACCTCGTTGTTAGCATAATCATTATTTTTATACGAAGATGACTGTAATAATGAAATGAAATAATTAAGTAAGAACATAATTTCGAATCATTGATCCAAATAGGTTCAACTTTGCGAATCAAATCGTAAGTGAAAAACAATAACTTATATCTGAAAGGCGAGCGTGTGTGCGATTACGTATGTGAGCATAAATAATAATCTATCGAATACAATCGATGCGATTCACAGATTCACTGTGAATGGTTGAATCGTAGGTACTGTGATTATTGATTCACGCTAAATATAATAAGACATAGGTACTTCAACTAAGCCTGATGCTTATATGTCAAATATGAGTGAATCTGTGTAAAGAATGATTCAAATGTTCAATTCAAATCGATTTCGGTACAACAATGAATCGGTTTTCAGTTACTGTGAATGAATGAATCATTTGCCAAAGCTGTAAACTATGAGTGAAATGTGCTCGTTTGTAAGTGTGATTCGAATCACAGCTACTATGATTGCTCTGATCATTCTTAGCTTATTTACAGCAATACTTGAAATGACTCTGTGTGACAAATGATTCACAGCGATTGTGATTACTGTGAATATTGTGCATTAGAGTTATAGTGCGAGTCACATAAATGAATCAAACGCTTATCTCGAAACTATGTGAACTGTGTCGACTGAATTTTGTGTGAAACTAAAGAATTTTGACAAATTTATGATTCATTCTAAACTTACTTTTGATGGATCAGATCTAATTCGCTTGCAAGGCTAAATATAATTGAATTGAATTTGTTTTTGTGTTTTTTTTTTTTTTTTTTTTTTTTTTTTTTTTTGTGTTTTTTGTTAGGGGGAGGGGGTTCGGAAAAAGTTAAAACGTACATAAAACAAAACAAAATAGCTAAATGGGAATAAAATAGGTGTCAATATATTTATATAATATTCATTGAAAATAAGTTACATTTGCTCAAAGGAAGCCAAATTTCAGACGCGTTTCTACGTAGCTACCAAAATGCATGCCAAATACAAGAGTTAACATAGGCAATTAACTATACGATATATATACGATATACGATATACGATATACGATATACATATATGTATACATACGCATATAAATATCTGTAGAATAGGGTAGAGAGGCAGGCGCATAAATAGAAGCTAGGAAACTTGCATAACATAACTGAAAAGCTGCAACAATACTTCTCTCACTT